AGTAGTTAAAACATAAACAGAATGCTATGGCGATCAGTCGAACATCAATCAGTTTAAAATGAGGAAAGGCAGAGGGTAGGCTAGAATCTACTGGTAGATTTGAGGGATTTGTAGATTAGCAACAGTTTCTGACTTTCAGTTGAACTATAGCATTCAGTTGAACTATAGCATCAATAAAAACAACAGCTCCTGCATGAAGAAAGCTTGAGGTATACAGGATGTGGAATTCCGGTCCCAAACTCCCTAACTCGAAACAAATTCCAAATAGAGCTTATACTCCCTTAATGTGAAATGTTTGCTTTGTTCACTTGGGTGTACTTGTTGGAGCTCATGGATCTGCTAAAAAGGAAGTCGAATCTGCAAGTCTGTCCACCTTGATTTAGAATACCAGGAGTAAGAAAAAGCCCTCCTGAACATAATTGTTCTGGCAGCAGAAGCTAAAAAGAGAATGTGTCATGTGAACCTGTCATGGGACAGAGTTCTTCCTACTTGCTTATCATAATAGAAAATACCTTCTGTCACATCCTGACCAATCTAGCATTGACCATTGTCCGGATGTGGAGTAGCATGAAAGCACTGATTAGAGATGAAATTAATAAACAAGAGCTCTTCCAGTGGATCAACAGCTGAGAGCAGGAGGATGGGGGAGAAGGGTACCATGGACCTCTGCCATGTTGTAGCAGTATCAGTGTACAGTTGTCCTGAGAATGGACAAAATGTAGATGATTTCATCATCTTCTCGCTGGACGTAAGGATGTGGCGTCTCCTCTTATTTCCTCTGTGTCACAATGTACCTAGTATGGGACACACATGGACACAGGGGGTTTTACCTGAGAAATATTTCCATGGCTGGAATCCCTTGAGTGTGTACATACACACCGGGACTTGTGCAGGCATTCTTTACGTATTTCTTTCCTTCCTTCAGCTTTCCACGCTACATTGGATGAGTCTCTTGGGAATCTCCTTGTTTTCTTTCTGGACTTTTGTGTGTGTATCTGTGGGAATCGGGAGCTACCTTAGGAAGGGTAGGTCTCAGATCCCTTTTGCTCTTTGAATCCTATCCATAGACTCTCAGGCTTTGGGGTGACAGCTGAGAGTAAGTGGCAGGGACAATCTTTTTTATTTCAAAATTAAATGCATTAATTTTTTCTCACCTGGCTTCTCTTGTCATATTTATGTATGAACAGTGGAAGTGTTCCTACTGTATCTTCCTACCTGTACCGCTCTCCTGAATAAGTCTTTTGTAATAAAGGAAAAAGAATTATGTGAAATTAATTTAACCTTGCCCATAACAGCAGGGGGTGATTTACTCCTGCCTCTTATTATTTTCTAGTCATACTTAATAAAGATGGATAAGAGAGGTTGGCTTCACTACTGAGTTAATTTGCAAGCTTTTCAAACTGAAGGTATTAAATAAGATGTATGTGAAATGTCGTTCAGCTTTTTTTTTTTTCTTTTTGACAGTGTGAGTGTTCAGTTTCTGTGTGGCACTTTAAATCTTTGTTTCTTCCCTTAGAAGTGGTTGAATGCCCAAGGGTTTTTAAAAGGAGGAAGCAATGCTGCTGAATGCCTTCTAGAGTTGTGAGGGTGCCTTGTCTTTACTGCCACCGCTTGTTGCCCTATATATGTATGCTAGTGCAAACATGGGTACTTTTTAAGGACTCTACATCTATTGCTTGAAATATAATTAATTTGTCATAAAAATTAGTACAAGGCCAGTGGATTTCAAAAATGTGGGTCTTAGGTTATCCTATCTCTTAGGGTATAGATCCAAATACAGTATGAGGCCTTCATACCGGGTCCTACCAGACATTTGATACAAAGAAAGATACTCTCTCCTGTCCATTGATAAAGTAGAAGAAGGCCCTTTACCTTGTGGATAGCTGCTGGTCTTTTGAAACTCTTAATTACCTGGTATATATTTGGGTCTGATTAGATGAAGAACTATGAAGTGTAAGGTGTGCCTTTGGTGTCAGTAGCAGCATCTCTGGCAGCTTTTTTGGGAAACTGATCTTGGTGAAAGTTTACACTCTATTTAAAAGTGTGGAGGGCATCGAGAGCTGATGAACTGCCTGTCCGACTTTTCTCCCCCCTGTTTGAGCAAAGGAGTTTTGTGTGCATTTTGCTTGCAGATGGAATCCTGGGCTTGCGTTCATTGCAGTGGTTTGTCTATGCTGCTGATAGGCACAGAGGTGGCCCCAGTAGGGGAAAGTATAAAGACTTGGTGTGTCCCTTAGGGGGGCCTACTGAAAGTTGGATCGGGGGAACATTGGATTCTTAAGGGGAGAGTAGAAATACCTGCTCCCAAGTTTAGGCAAACCTAGGACAACTGAATTTTGGGGAAACTGTAGTTTCTTTATGGCTTTGGAAAGTTTAGGATCTGAAACCATGGTTTGATGCTAGCTTGTTTTCACTAATCACAGTTTAAACTCCAAGAACCGTCATTTGTTTAAACTGGGAAGTTTAACGTGAGAAGCGGATGCTTATGATTGTGTCTGTACTATCAAAAGGAGGATGGGGTGCACATGATTAGCTTAAGTTTGCTCATACAGGGGAAACAGTGGTTTCATATGTCTGAAAGGGTCCAGAGTTTTCTGATCCCTCCATGCTTTTCATATTACTCCATACATTTCATATTAAAAATAAAATTGGCTGGAATGTGTGTGCTCTCTTACCAACCCCTTCCCACTATACCTGTATTTTCCTGGTTTAAAGCTTTTCCAATTAATTCTTACAGTGTCTGAGCTGTTCTCCCAGTAACCATTTTATGACTTTTTTAAAAGTTATTTTGTTAACATCATAAACCTATTGAACAATAGCCACTTTTGGTTTGGATTAAAAAAAAAACACTTTTCCAAGAAAAAATTACTTGCATTGATGTGGTTAAAAATAATCTGACATCATACTCAAATTAGACTCAGAGGTTTAAGAAAATACATCCTGGCAGGAGGCTTTGGAATAAATGACCGATTGTTGGAGACCAATTTAAGCAAAATGTATTTTTCTGTATGCCTAAAAATATATTTTGATCTATGCTGTACAATATAATAATAGGCTTCTGATTAATCACTGATAGTAGCAATCCATTATAATGTTTTGCATTAATTCCAACATTCTCTTTCATAATTAAGGTTCCCTTGCATTCTCCCCCTCTCTAGCTTGTGAAGCAAAATAGCTAAGATTGGTTCAGAATACTAGTATAATGCCCGTCAATATGGAAGAGGAGGAAAGAGGCTGCGTATTTTCAGATACGAGAAGTGCGCAGTGCAGCCAATCTGTGCTTGTTGTTCAGATGTTCACTCGTGTCCTATGGGCCAAATCTCGCCACACTTTTCATCCCCGTCCCACCTCTGCATTCGGGCCTAATTTCCACGATCGTGTCTGGTTACCCATTCACTTGAATGGGCTGCTACAATAATCTGCATCATCTGAGTTTGCGGCTGAGATTAGAACTGCTGAATGCCTCGCCATGTTTAAAAAAGGAGTCGAAGAAAGGAAACATACACATTTCCCTCATGGAGAGCCAGCACTAAGTGACAGAGGTTCTAACCCACTCCTGATGTGTTAGTTTTCTGCTTACGGGGAGAGTCTTTAACTTAGCAAGACAAGTTTTTGTCTAGTCTGTTCTCACACTGGCCAACTGGCAGCTTGTGGGTTGATCAAAGGTACTTGCGGGGCAACAGTTCCAATTCATCCCTGCTGTTTTCTGCTTTCAAGGAGAGTCTTTATGTGTAAAGAAGCATTTGAAAATGGAGAGTCCAAGGTCTTGTGCAGAATGTGATGAACACATCAGCATCTGTTCCTTTCCCTTCACTCCCTGCTCCGGCCAATTTTCAGGGAAGCTAATTCTCGTGTTTCTGTTCCTTGAGAACCGGTTCTATAACACATTTTTAAAAAATTCCTAACACAGGTATTATTTTAATTCTCCGTTCTCCATTCCAAATTCATATGCAGAAATGTAGGAACATATCTAGGCACCTGTATGTACTTTGAAGAGGAAAAACTTCCTTTTTTTTAGTAGCCCTCCTGGTTTGGAGAGAGTGGACTTGATTTAGTTGTGTTTTAGTTAGTTGCAAAAGGCTTAATAATAATGGATTGAATATTAACTAGCAAAGCAATAAGGATGGTTCCCTTCAGTATTTTGCAAAACAAAGTAATGCAGATACCAGTAACTGAGACACGACATATGAAGCCAGTAAGATAGTAAGTTTGAAATAGTTCTGGGAGTTAAGAATTTACATGTCTTTATTAATTATTAGATGTTATTAGTGTATGACTAAGGAGCTGGGAAGCTCTAAGCGTTCTTTTGAAGTAGTGTACCCAAATTAGACTGCAAAATAAATAAATAACATCTAGTAATGTCTGCTCTAATGAATTTTTCTAAATACACAAATCACACTTTATTAAGGCAGTGGATCTTTTAACTGTAAAAATATTATGACTGCTACGCTGGGGAAATCCATTTTGAATTATAAAACATTTTGGGCTCTGTGTGTGTGTTTACTGCAGTGCTAAGGTTAGAAGCCTATTGACTATTCTTTAAAAAATGGGCTTTAGAAAATGGATTTCGACACCCAGTTTTGTGGGTATGCCGGTTTTTGGTGTGAGATTTGCCCAGTTTAAGATATACTGCATGTATAACGAGATGTCGAAAGCTATTTATGGTATGTTAGCATGAAGCACATATTGTTAAGGAGTCATAAAAAATATTGGTTCTACTTTATGGGGGGTGATCTTATGCTCCCCTTCTCCTAATAAATGTTCGGCTGTAGAAGCACACATACAAGAACACCTTCTTTTCTCATTTTAATGCACAATGTTAATGAAAAAGCAAATCCATTTTTCAGAGTGCAGTAAAACAAAAATTGGACTCTTCTAGAATTTTGAGTGAGGGGCCCCCCACTCCATATAATGAAATTTTATAGAAAATATCACAAAGAGGCTAATCAGGCATTTTGTCCTTCAGTATGGTGTGTTGCATAAGCTAGTGGGACCAGTCACATGACTCAAATGCATGGAGCTGTTCGGGGTCTTTGTGTGTGGAGCTGCTCCAGCAGGTCGATGGAACGTCGGCTGGTTCAAGACATTTGCGGAAATGAATGGAAGACCTCTCAGTTGTGTGCAGCTTCTCCCTGTGCTGAAATGAATAGGAGATGCACATATTTCCGGGTGCTCAACTTAATGGAAGAATTGCGATATGCAGGGCGACATGTGTGAGGATCTGGAGCAGGAGGTTAGGTCATTTTGGCAGGTGTCAAGGAAGCTTCTTCCTCCCTCCAATGCACTTATGACTGTAGTAAGCTACTACCTTCAGATTAGAGGCTAATCTTTAGAATGACAGTTGTCTAATTTTGATAGGTTAGAAATTTGCCTATTTAGGGAGGGGACATAAGTCCCCCCAGTTCCTCTTGGACTTCAGCAGTAGCCATCTAGCGTTCTTACCATGCTGGTTAGGACCACAACATCTGGAGGACCACAAGCTCCCCTCTAGTGGCTTCCATTGGCTGGACTAACACTCCGGAGTGTCCCCGGGAGTTGTCCCAGCTCTGCCTGGAGGATAACGAGGGAGGGAACCTACTTCTATTTGCATGCAAAGCGAGCTACAATTCTTCCACATTGCATTTCTCTCTCTTGGAGAAAGAGATGCTTTCTAAGTCTGCTCTGGCTTTCACCCCATGGCAGATAGATATCGACATGATGCTATTCCCATCTGACTTCAAGAATTCCTTGGTTCTTGGAATGGCTCCGTGATATGCGTGCCATAGAGGATTGGCTGCGTGCATAATCTTCCCCATGTGCTGTCCTGTGACTCTGGAGCAATGTATAGGAACAGCCCCACGATGCAAAAAGGTGGTGCTGGCTTAGGCCACAAGTCCCAAGCGACTTACCTGGCGAAGCCCCGTAGGCAGTGCAGAGACTCTTCTGAAATAGGCTGCTTTCCAGACGTGGCTTGACTTCTGCTTTTAATTCATACAAGCACTTTTTCTTTCCAGCACTGTGGTCAACTCTCCTTTTATGTAGCTCAGTTTTACTTTTTAATTTTATTGCTTAGACTATGTTGGCATATATGGAAGCAATGCATTCTCCTTCTCCACTTCTTAAAAGCCTGTACTAAATAGACCATGGATTTTTTTTTGTTATTTAAAAATGAGACTGAAGAACCAGAAGACATCATAAATGCAAATTTATACTCAGCACTGTTTTTCGCCTTAACAAGAATATGTATATTTTTATCATGGGAGATAGTGGCATTAAAATTAGAGAGCAAGGGGAATATTAGCGTCTTGCTTGTGCCTGCACGCACAGCAATGCTATATTATTTGTCAGTGCAAACTTACAGCCTAATATTTGTGCATCTTGACTTTTGTCAAAAGCTACTTTGAAATTAGTGGGAATTTTTTCCATGCAAGTAAATTTAGGGTTATTGAAGCTGAATAATTACATTTACAAGCAACACTGTTGCTGCATTGTTGTATACAGAGGTACACTATACACATGCTTGTGTACACAGTGCAGTGTGAAAATTATATGAATGTTTGGATACAGATGTGGGAGCTGCATGTGTTAAAATGGGTATACAGTTTTGCCACGTATTTGCACTCAGCATTTGTTGGGTGTATCCAGGACATGACAATGCCCAGTGATACAAATTGGGTAATGTTGGAAGTCTTGGTTCTAAAGGGATGGAAGCCCTTTTGATTCTAAAAACAGATTGGGGTCAGGATACTGAACAAGTTGCTGTGTTCCGTATACACCGAAGCAGTTCTTGAGATCTTCCAAGGCGGCCTTGTTGGATAACAGCCTTATAGCGCACTGACATGCAAATAGGCACCGTCCTCTAAAACTTTATCACATGCGTGGTCTTAGAGGTAGAAACTGGGGTGAACTTCAGACACCTCTTGAAGACCTGCTTGTTTACTCAGCTTTTCTCTGCTTGCATTTAATACGTCTGTAATGTTTTAAATGTATTCACCACATTATATTTGTTTGCATATTGGCTTGTATATTCCTTTATGAAACCTCTTACAAATCTTATAATAACAAGCACTAGATAACGCATCTAAATAAAATCAACAATGTATACGTTTTGGTGACTTGAAAAATTGGCAAGTCATCCCAGCTGGATTTGGGAATCCTCTTGCCCATTTACCTGATTCTGTCTCTTTCTCTCTTGGCTGAGTGGCTGGGAAAGGGAATCCAAGAAGGCTGGTCTCCCAGTTACCTTAGTCTTCCACAGCAGTGTCATCCATTCCACTTTGGTGTCCTGCCCCCCTGCATCAGTGGAAGTACTTCAAAGAAGTGGAATTTCTGAACCTGGCATTTCCTGGATTACCTGTGCTGATCTGCACTCGCTCTTTCGGTCTAGCAGCCGCTGAGCCGTGGACCGGGACAGTTTGTGTCCAACTTCGATGTGGGAGAGGAGCTGAATCAGCATGCAGGTCGGTCGCAAAAAGCGCTCCGAAGGCTGGAGGAAGCATCTGTCTGGAAAACGCCTCTTAAAACAGCTAGTCCGGAAAAACAGACTCTCCCCCTTTTCCTGCGCTCCCTAGTCAGAAATGAATAGCAGGATGGTGGAAAAGAAAATCTTCAACTTTGGAGGCTTAGCAGTAAAGTGTGGGGTGTGTGTGTGTGTGTGTGTGTGTGTTTAAAGGGTCAGGTGTGGAAACGTGGGTGAAGGTTGGTATATAATTCCAGGAATGATTTAATGGTCATCACAATATTTCTTTTTCTTTTTAGTAACTAGCAAACTCGCAACTTGGTATGGCTGGTCTTTTGGTGCTGCTAACTGAAAATTCACCTATTCATCAATAATCTAGGAAAGCAAAGTCCAGCATTTTACTTGGCATTCCGGTAATAAATGCTAAAATATGGTGCGGTATTTATATTGCAGCTGGGGCGCATTTTGGATTGGACTGCATCCACTGGGTTGTGGCTTTCTAGCAGATACCACCGGTACACAAGGTTTGTTTATGTTATTAATGGTCCTTTATAGTACTTTCACTGTTCTCAGCCTTGTGAGAACCTGTGTTAAGTTTCAGGCAACCAAGACCACCCATTGAGATTTATTTATGACTTGGGATCTCCCACTTCAAAACCTCTCTTGCCACCTTAAAATCCCCTAAAAAGGGGCAGGGCACTCTTTCAGACTGCTGTGGTGGAGCAAGAATACTGGGACGCTGGTAAAGAGGCAGCATGTTAAGCTCACCCGTGAATCTGAGTGATTCCGTTTACAGATTGGCCAGGTGGCTGGGTGCCATGGGAAAGGGGATTTTAGAGGGCTGATCTCCCAGTTACCTTCGTCTTCCACAGCTGTTTCATTCATTCCACGGGGATTTTAAGCATTAGACTGGAGGAAAATTGTGCAGAAACCAGGAATGTTGCGCTGCTGGGGAAAAAGGATTAGGACTGGAGGAAGGGGCATGACCCTCTGGATTTCATATAATTCTGTGGCAGAGGTATTGTAACATTGACTCCCAATGCTTGTAAACCATGGCCAGGAGCTGGTACCTACCCTGGTTGGAACTAACCATGGTTGGCCTGATAGATATCACTGTACCTGCAGCCCAGGAAGGCAACCTGCTTTCCTGCTAGTGTTTCAGACTGCATCTCCTATAATCCCTGACCACTGCTATGCCCTGACCACTGGGGCTTATGGGAGTTGTAGCAAAAGCATAGGAAGGCACCAGATGGTTTAACCCAGGTTGACAGAAGGGAAAATCTGGCTGTGAAGGGAAGGGAAACTTAGCCCTTCCATTCTGCTAAGGCTGGTAATGTCTTCATGGGGATAATATACCAGCGCCCTTACTATCCCGGACTCAGTATACCACATGTGCATAAAAGGCTGCCTACATGGAATCTTGCCATTGGCCCATCTGGGCAGGTATCTTTTAAGTGCTGCATCTTAGTTGTGCTTAGACAGTAGAAAAGCTTATACTTTTTTTAATCCTTTGGTTGCTCCAACGAAGGTATTACCCTGATTCAGGTTTTGGAATTAGCCCTGACTTTGTAACTGAAGCTGCTGGGATCAGTGGGTCCATTCAGACATTGTGCAAAACTATGGTTTGGGCTTTTAAACATACAGGCAAGCCGTTTTCTTTTTGCTTTTGCTAAGCACTCCGGTCCTTTCTTGCTCTTAGGCAGACTGTAGTTGGAACTCTGGTTGGCACTAACCCATAGTTAGTATATGCTATGTTTTGTAGATCTACTAAACCCTCTGCTTTAAAAAAAAATCTGATTTGCTGTCTGACCACAAGCCATACAATTCAATTCAAACAGCGCATCAAATTACGGTTAAGCGTTGTCTGGTATAAAGTTTGAATTTTCCTCTTACGTCTGGAGAGCAGGACATGGGGCAAATTTTACTGGGATATTAGCATCCTGGAGGATTTCGTTACCCATAATTAGATCTTTTTTTGCATAAACCTGTTAGTGCAATTTTTATTTTGTTTCTTTTTTTATAACCCTTGTCTCTTCCTTCTCAAATTTGTATCTTGTACTTCCCTTTCTAAATCCACTCTACATTTTCTTGTCCTCTCCGACTTTCTCTGTGCCTCTCTTTGCCCTGAACCCGGAGAGCTGTAGCTCTCTAGATTTCATCTCCTCCTCTTCCTCCCCACAGGAAGGTGGAACAAAACATTTCTTCCCCCGTCACCCCAGTACATGCTTTGCCAGTCCCCATTAGGACTTTGGAGAAAGGCTGTGCCAGAACCTCTGTGAGTGTAGGCTGCGAACCAGCTCGATAATCCATGTGAAATGTGCCCTTGTCTCTTTCACGGGCCGCGAATGAGGTGATGTATAATGGCCCTATTAAGAGGTGACACACAAAAATCTGGCAAAGGGCCACAGCTCACACTGAGTCTTACAGTGAGGATTCCAAAGTTGCCAGGTTGCTGCTCTTTTACTCTCTCAAAAAAGCAAAATGTAGTTAAAGTTTGGATGGAGAGATTTCCAGCAGAGATTTGTCAATCCCAAAGCTGTTCCCAAATCAAGCAGTGTATTATCTTATAGCTTGTAAAATGAAGCAGGGTTTTCTCCCCCAACTCTGCAGCTCTGTGTTGACTTGCTTCCCATTCCAGTCCTGTTCAAGGGGGATGAGGCCGAGGATGGTTGGAATTGCCCCAAGTTCTCTGCATAGCTTTAAGACAAGGGCTGTATCTGGAGTGCTCATGCAGTTATTCTATCCCTGCTGAGAATCCAGTAGCTGCTCATGGCTTCTCAGATTCTAGGGAACTGCTGCCGGTTTGAGCAAGACAGCACTGAACTAGACGGGCAAATAGTGTCGTAGAATAAGGCAGTCCCATGAATTCTCACGTTGCTACCCTCACGACGATACTGGCTAGCAGCTGTCTCCTGGACAACTGGTGGCATGTTCACAACTCCCCAAGAAAGTACCAGTTATTTGAGTCTACTGACCTACTTTTGCAGATTGCCAACAACACTGTGGAAATGACAGTGGCCGATCTTTTTATGCTCCCGGAAGCTGCACTGAAGGGTTCAAAATGATCGAGGTTGTGTCCAGGTCAATGGGATGCCAAATTATTACAGTACTTTTTTCTTTAGTTGACCTAATATACTTCGTGATGCAGTCCCAGAGAAGGACTGCAGGCATCCTTGCTAGATATGGGCATCTTTCTGTTGCTTTTCTTTAAGTATATTCCCCACCCCCAATCACATCACTTTTTTTTTTTAGCGTTTTTGAATGATTGTGAGCTCTTGGACTGAAGTTGCCATTTTTGATATGTGTATGCTCCTAAGCCTCAAATTGGTGTGAGTTCTTTTTCCTTCTCCTCCTCTTTCTTTGTTGTCACTAAAGTTCAATTTAGTTTGAAAACTTAGGATGTTTCCAAATGAGGCCTTTATGGGGTGTGTTCCCAGATGACATCCTTTTCTTCACATCTGCTTCTCCCATTGTTTTTTCTTAGCATAAAACATCCGTTAAGCAAGAAAAGAGGGAGTCACTGCACAGCTCCTTGTCATTGTTAGCATCAGGTTCCTCCTTTCTGGAAAGCCCCACAATAAATAAATAAAAAATAATAATTAGTGCGAGTGTTTCTTGGACGACACGGCACAATTGAGCAGATTTACTTGTGAAATAAATGGTTTTGTCACTTATCCAGGGGGAGGTTCAGAAGGCCCAGAGCATGCCTAACGGATCTAACAGGGATAGATAATGGTTAAAATATGTCTTTGTTTAGCTAGCTGATAGATCTGTCCTATTAAAACAACCTAAACAGTGTGGCTTACTTCTGTACTCCACTGGAATGGGTGGCCTTTGTCAACTTCCCAAAGGTGGCATGCATGAAAAAGCTGGTGCACAGATGTTACCGACTAAAGATTCAACGTGCATGTTTGAAAATGAGCTCTCATTTGGAATTTTAAAAACTTGGGCTGGTCATGTTCTTGGCCAACTTTGTAAAAAAGCCCATAGGAGTAACAAGCCTCCGGAAATTTTTGCTGGTAAAGAACCGATGAGGAGCCCATGTTCATCATGCGGCGGCATGTGGCATTTCCGTACTGGGCACAGAGGAGGGAATGTGGGCGCTGGCTCTCCTTTTTCACTCACTTGCATGGAATTCCATGGGTTCCCGCACATGCCATTCCTTATCTACAGCTCCCAGCCAAAGGTTTAAGGGGTCAGACTATCTTGAGCACCTGTTTAATTGCTTGGACCTCTTCTAGAACTTTGTTGGGCTCCCACTACACCTACAGTGCCACCTATAGAGATACCTGTAGTGCTTCCGCAGCAGATGGAAGGCTGGAATTCGATACCCACATTGTCTAAAGCACCGTGTTTTATCCATAAAGATAATGCAGATCCCACCACAGATATAAACAGTAGGACAGAGTGGGTGGTACAAAATGACTTGGTCCATGTGGAACAACTCTAATAGCCAGAGTAGCAGTTGAGTATGGATGGTCATTGAATCATGGGTTGTCATCACCTGTGAACACTGTCCTGTGGTTTAACATTACATTGGTAACCACAAATAACCCAGGAGAGGAATTATCATTTGTTATTGGGATTTTTCCTCTGGGATGTCTGTGGTTAACAGTTCATCATTAAACCATAGTGTTTGATGAGGCATACATAGGTTTTCTAGCTCTGTTGGTTGAAGGCAGAAGGAATCCTGAGATAGTAGGGGGTTTTCGCCCCTTGTTTCAGATAAGTCAGGTTGACCTCAAGATGGTGGTGGACTGCAACTCCCATCATCCATCACCATTGGCTGTGCTGGCTACGTTAATGGAAGTTTGGGTACACCAACATCTGGAGGTTCTTGGCACCTGAGAAAACTTACAAGCTTTGTAGTATGGAGGTGTGTTGCCCTTCTGAATAATAGGAGCCATTCATGAAAGCATTTTTAAAAGTCTTGGGTTTACTAGGCTCCAATAAGTCTTCTTCTTAATTAAGAATGCTAGGAGAATCAGCCATGCTTGGGAGATCCTGGGAACAGCTGGAGAAAGTTGGGCA